GATCGAAATTTCCACGCGCCTGACGGAGTACTACAGGGGAATTACTCAGCAAGCTCAGGTTACTGTGTTACACACGGGGGTTCAGGCACAGGGTCCAGGTCCACGGTTGAAACACAAATAGATCGGTCGGAAGATAACCTCTGCTGCGAGATTTGACAGTTCCAGTTGATCGATAAACGACCTGACATCTCATATGTACGAGGTTTGGAGAGACCGATGCTGTCTTTCTAGATGATGGCAGATGAAGAGATTTTTTTTTTCTTGCTTCTTCTTTCCTATGTTGCATTGTCCTCTTATGCTTGCGCTGGATGGAGGTACGCACCTCGACGTTTCAGTTGCAGTAGTGCGTATCATTGGGTCGTCGCAACAACTCGTGGGAAAGCCAAGTTATTAATAGCATCGATGTAAAGTATTCCGATCCAGGCGGTGAGCGGGGGAACAAGAAAAAAGAAATGAAGCAGGAGGGGCAAAAAGAAAGCACAACAAAAAGTCTGTTCTTCGACAACAGCTACAAAGTACTTTGTTAGGTGCGTGGATGAACTACTAGGTCAAGGAGGCAGTAAGACCAGGAAGCAAGTTGCTGATGTAGATCTCCTCGCACATACAGCACAAGACACGATGGACTGTGTACTGTGTACTGTATACCTGTGTAAGTCCATGTCCACGGCATTGCGATCACGACGAACAGCGGCAGGCATTACATAGATAGATCCACTGACATTAAATTTTAACCTCTACGAGGCTGCAGGTTGCACCCCACAAGCAAGCACGGAGGATGATAATTTCGTAATGCCGTAGGAGGATGGAACCATCCATGATTGCCAGCCGTTTTTGCACCCCCCGGGCGCCATAGAATTTGCTCTGGCCCGCCCGATGCTAGACAAATCAGAGTGCGGCCCGGCGGGTAAAGGAAACTGGCATAAGTAGGCATCCGCATTTGGCCAGACCCAACCCCCTGAGGGACGCGCGTGCACCCACTGGAGTCCGACTGAAGGTGAGCCTTGGGACTTGGGGCAAAGAAAAAGGCAAATAATATGACTTCAAGTTGGTACCGACAGACTGGCAGCAAAGCAGCCAGTTAGTTTTAGTTCGTAACTAGGTAGACATTGGCTCCGATCATTCCTGGTGTGGCAGCTGCACAGCGCGGGACAGAGCCCTAGTATATGAGGTCGGCAGCTGAGCAGGTTGAGTGACCTGCTCTTTTTTATGCTTTCTGACCTCCTCTGAACCGTGTGATCATTCAGTGAAAAAAGAAATTGGGCAGAGTTTGATTCATACGTATAACTGATTGGTCCAACTGAGATTGATTCACTGGTCATTATCATCTGTCAACCATTCTTATTGTCTTGGCTATTGTTCATGATTACTAGTATCATTGTTCCTGCGTGCTTGAATACTTCATCTCCATCCATCCCCATCCATCAAATACCGACCTGATACCGTATCGTACATACTCCGCCCGGCGGTGGTTCGACTCCACTTTCCCGTGACAGAGTGCCATTGAGCCTTGTGATTGGCGAGATTGAGGGCGGCCCCCGAGCTGAGTCAGCGCAGAGGAGGGTCCTGGGCGGTTTCAAACCATTTCAAACCAATGCAAACGACAGCATTCCATTCCCGGCCGTCTCTCCTGCGACCCCAAAGAGCTGCTGAAATCCCCTGAAGAAAATAATACACACACGTCCAACTCGCTGTGACTGTGTTGTGTCTGGTGTTTCTCGAAGGGAGAACGTCGCTTTCTCTTCTTTCTTCTCTCTCTTCCCTCTTGTCTGGATCTTCTTGTTAATTCTTCCTCTTCTTCTGCTTCTTTTCTCCCTCTCGTTGCATCCCTCTCTTTCCGCCAATTCGACCTTGCGCACCCCCGTCTCCCCAGAGGGTGCGAAACACCTCTCCCCTCTTTTCCCTCCCCTTCCCGCTTTTTTTCTTTAGGGAGACTCAGGCAACCATCTTATCCCATCTTCCAGTCTCCTTCCCCGTGTGTCGTTCTTCCAACTCGACAACCACCAACCCCCGGCCATACTGTGTGTCGCCATCTCACGCTCGCTTTTGTTGTTATTTCGACTTCCAACTACCACAATCTCTTGAAAGTCTTTATACTACTACTACTACTACAGTCGACACTCATTTATTATATCGCATTCTTTTTTTTGCAATCGTTCTTTCAGACCCGACGTAACCCCGTTTCATCCGCTCTTTTTGTTCCAATATCCCGGAAAGCAAGCGCCCTGGGCTACCAATGACGTGGTGAACCGTAACCGCAACAGGATCCCACCCCCCCATCGAGCGATAATCCTTACATACTACCCTATCCGACTCTTCCTTCTACGATCCTACCCTCCGCGATTTCTACTGCGGTACCACTCCCTCCCTAACAGCTTCCGCCGACTTCCTACACGACCGCATCCGGCCGCGCCAAGCTGGTGCTCTGGAGTACCACCTTATTGTTCGATCAACTTGATTTTTTATCCCCGCGTCTCCCGCACTGGTCGACGGGCGCCCTCGTTATTTCCTACGACTCGACAAGTTGTCGGCCATATAGCTTGCCAAAATGCGATTAATATCCATGTTCATCGGCCTTCTGGTCGTCCTGCTCAACTCCCCGCAGGCCGCTGCCACCAAGCTCATCGAATCCAATGCCCTGAGTATTTGTCAGGACAGTTCGAATTTCACGGCCACTTACTTCAGTGTTACTTTCACCCCCGGCAACCGCTCGCTCAGCTTCAGCTTCGATGGAGTATCTGCAATATCTGGAAAGGTCACTGCAGAGCTCGTGCTCGAGGCCTACGGTATCCAGGTGTTGACCAAGACTCTCGACCCTTGTGAGATGGATCTTACTGGACTCTGTCCCATGAATGCGGGCACGATCGATGTTCCGAAAGCCGTCATTACCCTGCCCGAGTCGGTGGTCAAGGCCATTCCGAGTGAGTGATCTCCGTCATCGGCGGCCTTTTTGAGCGAGCCCTAGTTCACTAACAACCGGCGCTTAGACATTGCATACACCGTCCCGGATCTTGATGCCAACGTGCGGATCTATATCAACTCCACCACGACTGGTGAAGCCATTACCTGTGTGGAAGCATCCCTCTCCAACGGCAAGACAGTTTATCAAAAGGGCGTCGGCTGGACTACAGCTATTATCTCCGGTCTCGGTCTGGCTGCCTCTGCTATCACCTCTGGATTGGGACATTCGAACACGGCTGCTCACGTCGCGGCTAATGCGCTCTCTCTCTTCGGTTTCATGCAGTCTCAAGCGATGATTGGTATGACATCCGTCGGAATGCCTCCGATCGTGGAGTCTTGGACCCAGAATTTCCAGTGGAGTATGGGTATCATCCATGTGGGCTTCCTGGAAACCATCTGTACATGGTACCAGCGCTCGACCGGAGGAACGGCTTCAACCCTTCTTTCGGACTTGTCCACTACGTCCGTTCAACTGTACAGACGCAAGCGCTCCCTCGATGACGAGCCCATTGTCAGGAAGGCCACTGGATATTTCAAGCATTGGCAGAAACGTGCTGATGCCAGTACCGAAACTGCCACGGATTCGAGCGTCATTGTTCGTGGTATTGAGCGTGTTGGCTTCAAGGCTGGAATCGAATCTACGAATATCTTCCTGACCGGTCTTATATTCTTCGTTGTATTTGTTGCGCTGGTGATGGCCCTCGTCGCTGTTTTCAAGCTTGGCTGTGAGGTCCTTGCTAAGAACGGCAAGATGAAGGGAGACAAATTCCAGGAGTTCCGTAACGGATGGAAGGTTGTCGCACGTGGAATTCTGTTCCGACTCACGCTGATCGGCTTCCCCCAAATGTGTGTACTCTGCCTGTGGGAGTTCACCCGGGTCGACTCAGCTGCGGAGGTGGTTCTTGCTGTGATCATGTTCCTTTCGGTGGTTGCAGCGCTGGGTTGGGCAGCATTGAAGGTGTTGCGTCTGGCCAAGCGATCTGTCATCATGCACAAGAACCCGGCTTATATCCTCTACTCTGACCCTACCTGCTTGAATAAGTGGGGCTTCTTGTATGTCCAGTACCGCGCAACTGCATACTACTTCATCGTCCCGTTCCTGGGCTACATTTTGATCAAGGGCCTGTTCATTGGATTGAGTCAGCCCGCCCCGGTCGTGCAAACCATCGCTCTTGTGATCATTGAGGCTGGTATGCTCATTGCTGTCAGCGTCCTCCGGCCCTGGATGGACAAGAAGACCAATATCTACAACATTTCGATTGCCGCCATTAACTTCCTCAACACAATTTTCCTGCTATTCTTCTCGGATGTGTTCAACCAACCTGGAATTGTCACTGGTGTTATGGGTGTCGTTTTCTTCGTATACAACGCTGTGTTTGCTCTGGTGTTGTTGATCTTGGTCTTGATTGCATCTGTTTACGCCATCGTTTCCAAGAACCCCGACACACGGTACCAGCCCATGAGAGATGACCGGGGTTCGTTCATTAAGAACGGGGGTCAGTTGACCACCGAACTGGATGCTCTGGGTGCTACCGCCCGTGGGGACATGAAGGGGTCACCATACCAATCCAGTCCGTTCGAGGATGACAATACGTCCTTCTCGAGTGGAAACGGTGCCAGTGTTAGCCGTCAGAATCTCGAAGCTCCTGATGCCGCGACACACCAGACTGCTCGCCATTCCCCGGTCTCGCCTGTTGACCCGTCTTTGCCGCTATTCCCCAGCGACAACTCGGCCCGCAATGGCCCTCCTGCCTACGATGCTAATTTCGGGCGTTCGCCGTCTCCTGTACCACGGAACTACAATAGCTCCCCCTTCCAAAACCCACATGCATACCGGCAACAAAACAACCCGAGCCCATGGCAACGGGGAGCAGGTTACGACCACTGAAAGACTTAATATGATTGCTTTCTAGCCTTGCTTGAGATGAAGTTATGGCTTAGTGCGGGCATGGGTTGATTCTTCGGGCCCTATTCTAGCTTTCCACTGACTGCATCCTCCCTCCCCCGCGCTATGTGCGTTTTTTTTTTTTTTTTTTTTTTTTTTTTTTTTTTTTTTATTTGCTTTATTATATTGCGATTCCTCCCATTTGCTTGCCTATATGCTCTTGGCTACCATTCCTTGTCGTATACTATGATATACAGGAAAATTACTTGTTTCCTTCTTTTCTTTCTCCCAATTCCTCTGGCTCTCACATCCGAATTCTTTACCAAAGGCAATCCACCTTTCATTTCCTTCCTCCCTTTTCTCTCTCGATTTACTTTCACCGCGGGCGTTCTGAAATACTGGATCTGGAGATCGGTACTTGGGTTTTGTGTGGACTACGTGAAGTGTTCCTTTTATTTTATTAGCTGGCAGGGGGTCTGTCTACTTGTCTGATCCGATATCCCTGTATTATTCTTGTGATTTCATCGTGTATGGAGAGAAATCATAATGCTATGCCTGAGTTGCATTGACCTATTATTCTAAAACTATTGAGTAGACCTTTGTAACATGTTTATAACATTCTACTAAGGTTATCGTAGCACTACATTAAGAAGCTTCATAGGTATTAGTACCATGCAACTCACATACGCATTATGACAAAGTAAATAGAAAAATCCATCCAATAAATCCGTTTATTCATATTCTGTTGATTTACCAACTTTTTCTTTCCTTTCAATCAAACAAAAGAAAAGAAATATTGCATAACCGAATCCCCATAGATAGAACGCTGGTATGGAATCACTTGAAAGAAGAAGCAGCAGAATCTAGACAAAACAAATAGAAAAGAAAACAGAAAATAAGTAACCCCCGTAATAAATATAAATCAAGCAACACATGATACAGATACAACATAAGATAAGATACTACTACCCACCATCACCGTTTATCACCCAATCCCGGAGGCGGACCAGGCAAACCGGCGCCCATACCGGGCGGTGGTGCGTACCCACCATCCTGTCCCGGAGGACCGGCTATCCCGGGCGTAGGACTGGGGCTGTATCCTGCTGGGGCTTGACCTGGGGGAGGAATCGGAGGGAACCCGGCGGCAGCAGCACCGGGGGGAGGGGTCGGGAAGTTAGGAGGGAATCCGCCAGGCGGAGGAGGGAAGCCCTGGGCGCCCGGGGGCATGTTGGGAAGAGGAGGGAGACCGGCAGGAGGGGCGGCGCCTGCTGGACCGGGGAAGGGAGGGGGGAAGGGGAGGCCTCTTGCTCCGGGGGCTGTTTTCATTAAGGTTAGATAAGATACCTCAGGTGTGAGTTTGGGATGTTGGGGGATTAAGGTGTAACGTACGAGGAGGCATGCCCGGCGCGCCGGGTGCGCCCAGAGGAGGCATTCCGAATGGAGGGGGAGGGAGTTGACCTGGTCGACCTGGGGAGAGGGTGTTAGCTTGTTGGTCGATGCAGTAGTGTGTATGTATGTAGTAGGTGGCGATGCGTGACATACCAGGGAAGCCAAATGGAGGAGGGTAAGCTCCCGGGGGAGCCATCGCGGGGTTCGGGACAGCCTGGCCTTCGGCAGCGTAGGACGAGGTGATGGAGTCGATGACCGATTGGGCCTTTTCTTGTCCGATTTCTGGTGTCGCGTTAGCAGCACGCATTGGGATGGTCTGAGAAGAATGGGGCCGCCGTACGTTGGTAGTATTCGAGAACGTTTCTGAGGTGGTTACGTCCGGCGTTGTGCGCCTTGCGCACGCTCATCGAGTCGTGCGTGAGGTAGACATCGCAGTAGTCGCCTGTATTTGATTGGAGACATTGGTCAGTGGGGATGTGACTCCGGAGATGATGGCTGGATAGGAGGATGGAAGGAATTGCATGCGCGATGGACAAGTCGGCGGGTTGACGTGAAGGGAAATGGGGGTGTCCTACAGAAGAGTGATCTCTTTGTCAGCATCAAGAGTCCATCAAAAGATGAGGGTGAGACTTATATTTAGGCATTTTGGTGTTCAGAGAGCAACTGCTTTTTGAAAGCGAATTAAGCTCGAGTCGGATGCGCGCAGATGGCGCGGTGCGCGTGAGAGATGGCTCGGTTGGAAGAGTGCGATGGTGTATTGACTGCACTTGTAGCGGTCTAGAAAAAGGAAGAGAAGCTGGAAAATGAATGGGCACAAAAAACCGTTGATGCTAGCTAGAGAGAAATCAATGGCGACGCACTGCTTGAGGCGGAGATCGCAGCGATATCAGGGCGGTCAGGTACGGCAATATACCAGGGAAGTGATGTTATTGCCTCAGGCAGAAATGCATTTCAAACTATAGCACCATGTTCACGTGTGCGAGAAGGTCGTTGCAAAATAATCCGACAAGCTATTTGTCAGTCAATTGGTGTATAAAGAGCTGCGTAGGGTCGGCCTTGTTATCATTAATTAAAATTCAGGTAGTATTTTCTAAACAGATGTAAAAAATGTGATTGTTTTACGTTTCCGTACTAGTAAACCGTCTAATTTTATTTAGCTATTTGACTAAGGGCTCGTCTTTTTTCAATTCTCCCAATCCTGATCCTAAGGCTAACGAGCATCAGGAGTATGGGTGCCTCCACTAATCAGATGAGAGGTTAACATATGGGAGCGCTGTGCCGTGCCAGTCTGAGCCGGGGGGGAGCCGTCATATTCAAAGATGTCTTCAGCAACTTCCAAGAGTAGCTCTGGCCACAGAATGACATCTTTCTCAGACCACACCGGTTTTCTACCCACTAAGCGCTGGAACTCCAGCGTGACTGAAGGGCCTCAAACAGTTGGAGGGTCATCTCCATAGCACACTTCAGTAGTTGAAATCAGGTCTGGACTATAGGCTGTCCTAAATTGCGCCCCGGTGTTGGAAGGAACACTGGGTTTGGGGAAATACTTTTCGAATACTATACGCTTACTTTCTTTGTGCACACTGATCAAGATCACGATCTGCACTTGCCCGTTAGAGTTATTTATCCACCAGGAGGCACCTTGACGGAGTCTAGGCATTGGATCTGCTACTGCACTTTCAATCACGATTTTTGGCCGATTCTTGTTCCTAGATTCCATTAAAGGATGGGACCAACTATCGTCGGCTTCTTTCACGGAACCAGGAGGGCCAACGTGCATGGACGGCCATAGGCCAGGACGTTCCTCGATGTCGAGACTCATGATCCTTAACTGGGAGGTGATCTCTCGTCTGAATGTCATGCGAGCCACGTTCTGCCTTTGTATGGCGAGTTTGACAATAAGAGGTTCAATATCTGGGAAGTATGTATACCTCACTGGATAACATAGCTGCTGGCGGTCCTTGACCAGGTGTTGAGAATCCTGTTCAGACACAGATCCTAGAGACAGGTATTGATCAATATCATGCTCTTCGAGTGTATTAAAGGCGGCTTTTATTGTTTCCTTGAGCCTTTCAATGCTTTCGAACGCCTTTGGGGGATACCTCCCAGTCAAGGCAAGGTCGGCTGAGGGCAGAATAGTATACATGGGTCCTTTTGACGGTAGACATTCATTACGGCCTGATTTTGAGGGTTTCTCCATCTCAGATGAGGTCAGACTTCTATAGCCAAGAGCGCATACTCAAGCTTCAAAAAACGAGGACCTGGCAGGTTAATTGGAGAGTCAAAGAGGAATTAAAAGGATCGAGGAAGTTATCTTCGGTATTTGTATAATATATAAAAATGGCTATATTCGACGGAGTTAGCCGCAAGACACAGGCAGTTTAGACTCAACTCAGGCAAAAGCCGATTTTATAGTTGTAGTGTGGACTGCCACTCCGTATATTCCTTTGGCCTCCAGCCAAAACATGCCATTACCGCTCTACAGACCGTTCAAGGCGGCAGAAACTAGTGAACCTCGATGAAAAAAGCTCGGATTTAGCGGATTTTGGAAACATACAGTCCCAGAACTTTGACCTGAGATTCTGTTAAAAATGGCTGTGGGCGGTGGGCGGCGGCAGTATTATATTGACTGAGGATACTATTTATATTTATGGAATGATTATACTTCTATGTTTGTTTTCTACCCATGATACTAATTATTTGAGATATATTTTCTGGTTTTGTACGGAGCAAGTACTAATACTAGCTGGTACTTGAGCCTGGGATGTCTGTCGTAGTCGAAGTTGAGGGCAGGGCTGTAGACTAGGCTTTACCAAATGGCTACGGAAGCTGCTTGATCGTCTATAGTTTACATAACAAAGCGCTCGTATGTGCAATATGTTAAGAAGGCGACTCCTTACTTTTATTTTCCGTTCTATGTTCCTGTTTCTTCGTAAAAGCAATGCGAGGAGGTGATTAAGAAACAGGCAGTAGGATAACCGGTGATCTGAAATATATGGAGTAATTTGTGGAGTTAAAGCATTACTACTTCTGGATCAGGTTCATTGCTGCATTCAGTCAGTGTGATAATCATGGTGTCTGCATGTTCAGAAGTATTGCATATCCTAGAAACCAGATTTTGACATGACAGACAAATACTAGTAAGACTGGTATGCATGGCTGCACTACCTAATGAGCCGCCCAACGGCCGATAAACGCAAGGGGAACTGTGTCAGAACTATGGGGTAGGACATAAGAAGATGTAGTTAATGTGTTGCCGTCACTACTGTATCCCCTGATCTTGTTGTAGTAATGGACTAGCAAGGGATTCGCAATGTCGTGACCGACGACTGCCTGAGCGACTCGCAAGGGACCAAGGGGCCAATGCGTAATGCCAGTTGCAAACTCTCGAAATGACTACAATGAATGATCTGGTGTATCATTATGTCCCCGTGTGCGGTGACTCGACCATAGAGAAGTGGCAAGATAGGAATGTTGAGAAATACGAGTGAGGGGTCACGACACCTGGACATGGTTGGGAAAGGAGCACACGAGCGACCGAGTCAGGCGGTGGCCGTGTCCAGAAGCATGGAACTTCGACGACCTCCTGGCCACGTCTCCGGCGAGAAGGAAGCTGAAAGAAGGGGTACATCCTGCACGGAAAAATTACTCGTACGTCATGTCCCGGTGGTGGCAGTCAGCCGGGTGTGATGAGTGATGAGACCTGCATGGCTAGGATGCTCCGGGGTCGAAAATCCGGGGAAGCAACGACGTGTCCTCCAAAAGGTCTTCTGCCGTTTTCCTTTTTGCCTCGGGAACCAGAAGCGGGTTTGCAGGAACGACGGGAATGGCGGCCATTTGCCGGTCCAACCGGCTCGGTTGATGTGGCCATTCAGGGGCTTGAGATGGATGAGATGGAGTTGCTTTGTTAAGATGACTGTACCCCTGACCCCCTAAGAAAGGAGATGCAGTCCGTGAGCGCTTCACTAGTCGAAGTCGTTGGTCCTTAGCATACATTTCATTTGACTAATAGTAATAGTCCTGACAGGTGGGGGATGATGAGCACTCTAGAAGAAATCACGATGGTCGGAGGGTGATTCGTGTCATTTGAGGCATTTCTGGTCGACTTCCCCTCTCGATCGTTCCAGATTTATGGAGTCATTTTTCTCTTTTTGGAGTGGCGCCCCCCTCGTCAGTCTGTGTCTGGGGAAGCTGTCCTGCTTGGGTTTAGCGTAATGGATTGGCAGTGGGGTTCCTGAGGCATTCTTCAATTTTCCGTTTGTGCCGTTCAGATCTCATGACAGCCAGGGGAGATCCCTCAACATCCAGTTCCCCCCCAAGTTCCTGCCATTGCCCCATGTCCAACGCACACCGGCCAGCATCATACGAGTAGCAAATAAATTTCAACCAGCCAACACAGAAAGAAACTGGGGCGCAATGAGGGACAGTCAGATGGGGACCCGGATGATGCGGTGAGGGGCTGTTGTTTGATGATCTCCGCTAACCGTCTCCATACTGGAAGAGATTTCTGCACTAAAAATGGTCTCGACCGGTAGCCCCGGCAAAGTCTTAGTCACTCCCTGAAGGAAATCCCACGCTCCGCACCGGTCTTGACTTCAGATGTGACTTTCATGTAGAATGCCATCATCATCGTGCATACGGAGTTGGTTGGCCTGCCCCTTTGAGCCTTTAGCATTGGGCATCTTCCCCGGTACCTGCCTTTCCAGTAGACGCCGTTCAATATGTAGAAGTAAGTCTGCTTAGCTGAGATTTGTGAACCGGGATTTGACTGGACGATGCCCTTTCGCCATGGTTGTAAAGAACAACACCCCCTCGGTACTGCCGGGGATCAGAGTTTAGCCATTAAACTTGACGCTTCCAATTTCAGATGCAGCACGAATAATGATGCAACTGTGCTGCTGCCGGTTTCAGGTAGCACCGGGCCTAATAGTTGCGGGGAATAATAGTCATGGACTGGTAGACTGTTCTTACCGGTTGACCGGCTGACGGTGAAGCCACGAGGGCTTGCCTTGGATATTGGGCATTACGGGATAGTGGAAGGGATGGTGCGAGTGGACAACGAACTGTTTGTAGCGCACGAGTTCGTCAGTTACTCAATTTAGTTTCTCTTGCTGGTACCGAAAAGAGTAAGTCCATAGGCAGTCCTGCCAAGCTAATAATAACATGTTATTTTCTTATCTACGTGTTATTAGTATACCAAGTAGAAACTATAGACAGTAATAGAAGACTATACAGAGTAGACGGGCTGTGTATTACTTCGTACATCCAAGACCAAGGAAGCAGCATCAACTCAGCCCCGGGCCCAAGCATACCATAGCCCCTTGGATACACCGAATTATTGCTATTATTGATGGCGAAATTGCGAGAGTCTTCCCCCTCATTCAACAGGATCGACCCAACTAGAATCAGAACAGGCCGCACGCAATGTGTTGGCCGATGACGCGTGACCGACTCAGCAATTTCCATTACCCCCAGGAAACCACCAGAGCCAGCCCTCGGGCACATCCATGGCTTGTGATTGGCTGTAGCGCCAATTTCTGTTACGTTTCGCCACGCCTTGGATTGGCGCCGTGCATGTCAGATGATCGCACAGAAATTCTTTAAAGCAGCCAGGATAGACAGGGGCGGTGGGTCGGATATCAACCAATGATACTGTTGAACAGGAGGCGGGCAGACAATGATTGGCTGTAAATGTTGCACGTTTTGGTGCCGCCCTAACGGGGTGAAAATTTGCAGGGCTGAAAGCAGCGGTGATGATGGAGTAGCGCGCGCATAACCGCAGAATGCAGAAAGAGGGAAGGTTCAACCAAGTCACTACTAGTAACGAGTTATTGGGGATGAAATTTTCTGGGCAGCTCCACCCCAGCCAAGCGTGACCCTGGCGCGGTGCCTGGAAATGGAAACCACGCAGTGGCCATGGTGCAATCATGAGTCTGCCTGCCGTCACGAAGGGGGGCTGTCCTGACTCTTCCCCCGGTAACTCGCTGGGCCCGCCTCGTCTGCGTCCAACTATATAACTCCTTCCCCGCTGCGAGGCCTGGTTCCAGGCTATAGAAGTGGATTCTCATCAGCTCCAGTTTGAAGAGTCAGTCATACCACTAAAAAAGAAACACACGAGGGAAATTTTTTTTAGTTTCTCCTCTCCTTTTTTAATAGTCTCGCTCCCAGACTGCTTCTGCTTTATTCCTCTTTGTCTGACTGTCTGCCTACCACACCTTCACCAAACAAACAAGATCCTACCACTCTTCGCGAATTACTCGACCATAGGTCCCCATTGCCTATACATCTCATCTCCAATTGACTCATATTGCGTCTACATGTTTATTACGCCATTATCGCAAATCGGATTGAGTTTCCGCGTTTCGAATTATTCGAGTAATTCGATATAGACCGCGAGTTTATACTTCCCGCATCGCAAGCGCTTTTGCACGCATCCTCAATCACATCAACAAACACCACTCTACTACCTACTACTACCTATCACAACTCAATCACCATGCCTGCATCAGTGAATTACCGTGTCGTTGAACCGCATCCGTCGGTCCCTCATACCAGCCGCCCTGCTCTGCACACGGCTCGCGGAGGCGCTGGCAATGTCATCAACCTGAAGGGCACCAAGACCACCGACTCTCGCTCGGCTACTGGTCCTGCCTCTTTGACCCGCTTGGACTCGAATGTCCCCAGCACCTTCAAGTCCGGTCGTGGCGGTGCCGGCAACGTCCACAGCAGCAGCGAGCGCGCTATTTTCAGCTTCGACGAAGAGCTTGAGCGTGAACTCCGCCGTGCCGCCCCCGTCTACCACGTCGGCCGTGGTGGAGCCGGCAACATGGTCTTCTCCAGCGACGACTCATCCAGCACCCTCAGCCGCAAGTTCTCCGGCAGCAGCTCGAGCAGCTCCGGTTCTGCTCGTGAACGGGCTCTCCGCGGTCTTGAGAAGGGCTGGGGCAAGCTCAGGGGCATGGCATAGGTATGAAGAGTCAGGGGGGAGTGAAACTGGGTTTCTTTCCGACCATCTTCAGCGCCATTTCCATTGTGCCTATTGCCGCCTACCAGCGTTGCATCAGCAGATCATGACTCACGACTTACGACCACCAAAAAAAGTTTTTGTTTTCATTGTTCGATTCGACCTTCGAAGATTGCTACCTTCACCCCCAATCATCTCATTCAACTACGCCTTTAATCCTTTTCCCTCTCTTTAACAATCGATTGAATTAAGGGGTTTATTGTTCCCCCTCCAACTTCAGCTCTCTTCTCATCTTTTCTTTTCTTTCTATTTTCAACCTCCACATCAACACTTTTCAACATGATACCCCTTTAGCCATGGTCTCGTCTATACGTGCGGACATCAGCATGGCGTTGACATTGCCCTGTTCACTTGTTCCTTTGTGATTTGTTAGGACAATGACAGGATTTTGTCTTGTTTACAGCATAGGATCGATCACTGCATCTCCGTGCTTCACTACCACAGCATAATGTGTCACTGGCCAATAGAGCCAAGATTTCCCATGTATCCTACTAGTTAACTGTGAAATCAAACAAACAAAAACCACCCCAACCAAACCAAATTTTGTCGCGTTGCGTACAAAGTAGTAGTAGTAGGTTGTGACACAACTAATGTTGGTAACAAATTGTGCAATCTCACGTAATGATGCCGAAACCGTCTGTTACACAAAACGTAACCACAATTACCTCACCAAACACCCTGGGACCGCGGAGCGCATCGTCAACGACTGTACCAGATCCATCTCGATGCACCATCCCTTCAGCAAATGACGGGATCTCCGGAATTTGATGTCGTGACTTGACATCACTCAACAATTCAATGACACGACTTGCCTTTTTTTTTTTTTTTTTTTTTTTTTTTTTTAAATAACAAACATAAAATGTTCTTGACAATATCATTCTATGTAAGGGTTACAATGACGCTGCCCACCTACATTACTATACTCTTTGAGACAGTGGAGTTGGGTTGGGTTACCTTAGGTTAGAAATACCTGGAAGTGTTCTAGACTTTCTTTTTACACAAGATGCGTTGGAGGAGGAAGAGGTAAACAAATGCTCGTGGTTATTTGGTTCGGGACTACTATGCATGTGGCTGGCTAGTTAGTTGGCTAGCTGACTATGTGTTGTACACTTGCTTGATCACTAGTAGGGATATGGTTGGCACTGTGTGAATATTCCTCATATTGTGGATTGGGTTGAGGCACGACCAATAGGCAATAGATTACACTTGGAACTATAATTGTAAGTATATTGGTAAAGTGACTAAGACATACATGTCTAGGATGTCACATGAAGATTCCAGTGACTTGAGGTTGTTGTTGCTGCTTCTGACTTAGACATCAAACGCTCTTTCCTCAACTAGTAACTACTTTTACCGTTTCCATCCATCTCGCTGCTATTCTTGTTTATTACTACCTACTACCTGAGTCCTGCTACTGCTGGAACCCCGTCTATTGATCAATCGCTAGGACTCAAAACATTCTGCTGGTTAATGGTCATAAACCTACTTGTAGATTCGAATGATTCAACGGATGATTCATCCGCGTCCCTCAGAATGCATACTTGGACCTGCTAACTCCCGCATTACAACCTCGTTGAGTGATATGATCATCAATCACTTTGTCAGTGTGTCTTTCCTCACTGTTTGAGGGGTTATTCTCACGTCTTCATCTTATCTGGAAGCTTAGGCGATGCAACGATGCCAATCAAATAAATTGCATGCTCCAGGAAAGGCAGACAGCTGTACTCCCTAATTTGAGTCACCAGTTGCTCTTACCTCGCGATTGTAAGGTTGTGAGAGAGAGAGAGAGAGAGAGAGAGAGCCGTCCTTCCTAGCCCCCTCGGCAAGAACTCTATAAGGACAGCCTGAGATTCCGCGGATATTGTTACGAGGCACTCAACCATGCATACTGGAGAGCCAACGATGTGGTACAGCAACATTCCTTGAGACCACACCCGTTCCATGCGAGTTATAGGTGGAGTTTCTGTGTCCTCAACCTAACCCCTCTGTTCAAAGTGTGACTCTGTGGTTGGGAAGACGGTAATCAGAGCAGATCTATTCGACAGGACGCAGAGCTCATGTGGCATGTTAGAACTTACTATTCATCTAGTTACCGCTCTCAGCATTCAATGATATCGCGTTACACCCCTGTGCGCAGTCTGAACTAATCTAGGGACTTAGTGGAACACAAGAAGCTGAAATGTCTACATCTACATACCAATATGACATCTACGGCACTTGGAGACTCTAGTGTCACTGTCATTCAAGAGGGGGAAGCTACGGTACAGGCGCAGAGTGCATCAGATGGCATTCTTCCAAAAAGCCCGAGGTCCTCTTCCGTACGTCATATCACATACCAGTACCCAGGAGCCATAGACCTGAGGGCCAAGACCGGACCTCTAATGTGATATTGTAAGTCTAAGACACATTCTGACAAGCCATCCTTGCGGAAGTTACTTGTAACAGTTAGTTTTGTTGTAACATATTGCACCACGCAGCAGTCCTCCGAGTTTCAGGCTCAATTATCTACTTAGTATACACCACAACAAGCCATCCCCCCAGCACCCGTTCCAATAAGACGAGGTATGTATGCAGGGGATTGACAATCATCCTTAGAAATCACATCCAACATCCGTTCAACCCTTACCATTGTATTCTCTATCTCCTCATACATTACCCCTCAATATTATAACCTCCCCTCCCCTCCCAAATCCACAAAGGATCTCGAAGCACAGACCTCACTACATTTCCAAATTTCATTCCTGGACCACCTCCAGAAGAAAGGCCTTCTACCGCCCTCAATTGCCCCCGACAACCCATCCTCAAAATCACCATGCTCTCTCAGAAACCCCTCGCAGTAACCCTCATCGCCATATCCAGTGCACAAGCAATATGCAATAACAGCATGTACGAGATCGATTCAGGAGCATGCACCTGGGTAGGATCGGCACCATTCTGCCCCCAGGACATGGCAGACTATTGCGATACGATAGATACCCCCACAGGGGCAGTGAATCTGTGGGCTACCACCCGAGACCTTGATATAAATGATCTTCTTGAGCTGGGATATATCACACAAGAATGTTATGATGATTATGGGGATGGCTGTTGGGATGATGGTTGGAAGACTCTTTGGTGCGAGGGGGCGTGGCCTCAGTGTAGTGGATAAAGGGCCCTAAAAAGCTTTTGCTTGATGGTAGGTCAATTGAGTACTAGTTTTTATTTTCCACTTTTCTCAATTACTTTCCGCCCTTCTGAAATTTATTTCTGTTACTGGTGGTAACGATCAGATAGGGCTATGTGGATGGGGTTTTTTTCTGTGCATCTTAGGTCAATTGCGGAGCTTCCAGGCCCCAGGTTACTTGATCAACGGAGATGGTTTGTTGGGACTCGTATATTTTCATCTATCCATCCAATATGTACACAAAACTTCAGAATGTGGCACGCAATTTCAGCGAGAAATAAGGAGATATGAGGTGAGACAGGAAAAAGGTAGAAGAAGTGAAAGCAAAATAGCATCTAGATTCATGTCTTTCCTCGTAATCCGGGTACATGTCGCTAGGTATGTATGGTTAGAGGCTAAGGGAAGCAGCATAAGATTAAGGGTAGATGTGCTAATGAGCTCATCCGATTGGGATGGACACCAACACCGCTCATGGAAGATGTATCTCGCATCAGATAGTTAAATAGCGGAAGGGTGAAAGCGTAGTATGAGTGGCAGATGGGGTATGGCAGCTTGAATAATCGAGGCGAACAGAAAAGAGGGGTATCTATTAAGAGCTGCTGCTGACCATTGTGAGCATCACCATTGATGTCTTTTTCTAGCTAGTAGCTTGCATGTTCAGTCTTTGCAGTAAAACGTATCCTGTCGCGGAGTCTGCGAGCTGCAGGTGCGGAAGTGGATACATCGATCGTGCAGGTCCCTGATATTGTTTCATCCGAGAACGCAAGCACCTTTAAGCGAACTTCCGGTGGATGATCTCGGGGTCTTCGTGCCATTCGTCTGCGCTCACCCACATCTGTTGAAGGAGTTAGATGTACGGTTCATAGTTTAGGGTGATGAGGTGGAAACCTACCTTCCGGAAGGTGCTCAAGCCAGCAAGAATACCACCTCCGATCCATGTCGTGTACTTCCGTTCTGCGGGGGCAGAGATTCTGATCTTCATATCCTCCACAGCCAGACGCTTGATCTCGCGCATCAAACGGTCCGGGAAATTCTTGCACAGCGTTGATCCACCAGACAGGACGATGTTGAGGTAGAGAGATTTCCGCAAATCGAGATCCGTCCGGGTAATGGCGTCCTGCACGATTTGATGTACACCAGGGTATTCCAAACCAATAAGTTCCGGATCGAAGAGAATTTCAGGGGCGCGGTAGCGTTCTTGTCCGATCTAGTTCGCCATTAGCAAGCCCCTCCAACCCGATCAGCATAACGTCAGGGAAAGTACCTTGATCTTATGCCCATCAGGCAGCGCATAGTCAACAGATTTCGTCTCCGACTTGTGATAGCTATTCATCCAGTCTTTCTCCTCCCGCTTCGGATCCAGCGAAACGTAGCACACCTTCTCCTTGATCATGCGGACGACCTCCTTCTCCGCACTGGTATGCAGCACATGTCCATTCTTTCGTAACAGTAGTTGCAACTGTTCCGTCACATCCCGACCCGCCACATCAATCCGCCGTATACTGTTCGGGATCGCGAAACCTTCAAACACCGGTACCGCATGGGACACACCATCCCCTGAATCGAGGACCACACCTGTTGTCCGACCAGACGCGTACAATGACAGCACAGCTTGAATTGAAGTGTACAGCGCCGGAACGTTAAAGGTCTCGAACATGATTTGGGCGGCAGCGTCGCGGTTCTTGCGTGGGTTGAGCGGTGGCTCCGTCAGGAGCACGGGGTGTTCCTCCGGCAGCGTTTTCAGCTCGTTCTCGTACACGTAGTGCCAGATTTTCTCCATATCGTCCCAGTCTGTTACGATTCCATGTTCCAGAGGGTAGCGAATCTTGAGCAAGCCGCGCAGTTCTTGAGCTCGTTGTCCGATAAAGACATCGCCTTCGAGACCGCCGGCCATCACCCGCGGATGTTTGGGCCGGCCCACGAACGAGGGGAAGTAGCAGGAGGGGATCTCCTCACCGGCAAAGCCGGCGCGGATGGTGCCACTGCCATTGTCGATGACGATCGGAGCGTTGTGGAGGGTGGCTTCTGCCATTGCGTGGAGAGAATGTTGGGGATTGGGGATCGGGGAAGAGAGAGGAGAGATCGAAGGGCGCGGGTGTTTTGTTGTCGTCAAAAGGCACGGAGAGGCCCCGCGGCCTGGTCGGTTGCTGGGCGAGGACGCGGAACTCGAACGATGTCGCAGGACTTCTGCCGGTAGAGTGCTTGAGCTCGATTGCTCTTCTGCGAGGTCACGAAGTAGAGCAAACCAGGCCGGAGGGAAGGATAGCTGCGGGTTGTTCTGCGCGTATGTTTTTGGGGTCGAGGAATGGAAAGCACAGACCAGCACCGCTCCAAACTCTCGGAAATCCCAACTATAAACTCTATCTACAACCCAACACAGTAGGATAGAATGCATTACGATCATCATGCTTTGCTCGCCATATGATCAATTTATAAAGACATAAATATGCTTGATTCCTTCAATCGTCCCAACCGGATTGGCTACTCCTACAGATACATTCCCAATAACCTATATCTAAGCGTTGTTAAGCCACCATTTAGCGGATTGTCCAAGACACTGATGAGTCCAGTCGTAAGTAGAACCGTCCAGTCTACCTTCCATGGCTGTTTGGTCTCGAGACTCCTCATTGCTCAAGGCTCATGGCCAGCTACCCGATGACGTCCATAGTCATGATAATTATAATCGTACCACATAGTGGCGGTGTCATCCCAAACAACTTACAGATGTATCGCTTTCAATGCGCCCGGCAGAGTGGATTCGACCGGTGCTAGTGATAAAGACCCAAAGGCGGCTTCAATCTAAGAAGCCCAGTTCGTCAGACATCACGCTCTCCAGCGTTGGCTGGCGCCGCTGGCTTACTCCACACACAGGCGGCCAAGCCAGCATCTGAGCTCGCAGCTTTTCTGCACGAGCGAGTGCGCTCGAAATTTCCCTGGAAAAGGAGTGAGTTCGTCTATGTCACCCGGTCCTAAGCACCGAAAGAGCAGCGTACCAGTAGTTGCTGGCGACAACATATCCCTGCTTCTGCAGTTCCTGTGCCAGTTCTTCCTGGTGATTATCCTTCAGGGTTGGGTTCGGTACAACAACAAGCGGTACACCAAGCCGTAATGCTCCAAGAATACTTCCCGATCCTGGACCCAAACCATGTCAGCCACCTCAATCAGGTATTGGAGAAACTGTAGACATGGGCATTACCAGCGTGGCTGATGATTAGACCCCCGAGTCGACCCTCAGACGGATCAGCTCGAGCCAAACCCATCTCCTCGTCTAAGCCAGCCTGATTGAAGTCAAATCCGGCGATTTCAAGTCCATGTCGGCTTTCACTATCGGGAGGGCATCTGTTCTGGAACTCATCCCAAAGAGCCTGGCCGTCCTTGCCATATTGCACAAGTAGGTGGGTAAACCCTAATTTCTGTAATGCCAGCAGACACTGATCTGACAGTACTGACTGTAGAAGAAGACGAAAAGAAGCTGTAGCACCCACAGTGACGAAGCAGACCTTTGTAGTGGCATTTGGTTGGAGAGGAGACGGCATGATGGTTAGTTAGTGGGCGGGTGATATCCCGCACGGAACAAGACTCAAACGTGGCCAATTTTGCCAACCATATCAGCCTCTAGGGAATGTAGTCAGTGCCGTAGCATTCATAGACTGGCATCCAACATGCCAGACTCTAGATGAAGTTGGCGCGGAAAGACGCAAAGGCAAGTATGAAGTTGCAGTTGAGGTAAGTAGTTCCAGCCAATTGTTCGGCGGTGAAAGTCACTGCCTTCCCGAAACGGTTTAGTGGCACGCGGCGATGGAAGGAAATGAAAAACATCCGCCGAACTTCCTCCACTGCGCCTCTCATTCCCAATATCCCCAGACTTTCCCCTCCCCCAATGGCCTCAGTAGCTCGGTCGCTGGGCCGCTCGGCCTTCTTCCTGGCCCGGAGAGGGCCTATCATCACCCCCTTCCGCCAATTCTCCGCGACGCCCATTTCCCTCGTCTCAGAAGATCCGCCCGTCCCTGAGGAGCCCAAGCGCCCTCGTCCGCAGGACCTGCCCCCGGCACCCGAATACTCGCCTGATTTCCTCTCGAAAGAGGAGCGGGAGCAATATGACTTGATGTCTCCGGAAGAGCGAAAGGCATTCGACGAAGCGAACCGTGCTCTTGTCTCCGAATACAACGACCCCCAGGCCCGTGCCGCCATGTTCGCCGAGCTCGACAAGGAAGTCTTCCAGATCGAAAGAGAAACACATATGCGTTTCGAGGCCCCGAGAGCCCGATCGAATGGGTTCTGGGCGGAAGACGAACCGGATGATCTGGCTCTCGTTGAGGACGGCGATGAGGATTTCAACGATGACGAAATGACGAGCATGGCCTACGCACAACTCGAACAGCATCGTGAAATCAGAGAATACGCTCGAATCGCCGCTTGGGATATGCCATTGCTGAGCGGTATGCAGCCACACCTACACCCAGACCCCACATAGTTACCCCCCTCATGTCACAATCCCTTTGCTAATAACCCGCAATAGAGCTCGCCAAACCCTTCACCCTCCCTCCCGAATCTCACATCCTCCGCTTCCGTTATACAACATACATGGGCGAGCAGCACCCCGCCGAACCCAAGGTCGTTGTGGAGCTGTCCTCCAAAGATCTGACCCCCAAATATCTCACCGAAGCGCAGCGCCAGACCTTCCTCAAACTCGTCGGTGTCCGCTACAACCCCCAAACCGATATTGTGCGCATGTCCTGCGAGAAATTCCCGCTCCGCGCCCAAAACAAGCGTTACCTTGGTGATACCATCAAGTCATTGATCAAGGAAGCGAAGGAGGGCGACTCGTTCGCCGACGTCCCTCTCGATCTGCGTCACCACAAGCCCAAGGTTACGCACCGCTTCCCCGAGTCTTGGGTTATGACACCCGAGCGCAAGAAGCAGCTGGAGGCCACTCGTGCTGAGAGACAGCGTCAGGAGCAGGAGCGGGTGGACGGCAACAAGATCGTTCTGCAGGCGGCGCGGACCCTGCCGGCTTTGAACCCTGCGTTGAACGCAAAGGCCACGGAAGAGCGGGAGAAGGTTGCGGTGAAGGTCAATGCAAAGGCTCAGAGGAAGAGGGTTCGGTGAGCTGAGCATTGAGCTGTGATGAGTTCTGGAGGAATTCTAAGGAAACAAACACCACGCCTCACTACCACCATGATCGTTATTCATTTACGAGAAACGGAGGGAGTATGTCCATGTGGTAACCTGATGTGTCTGTTTTCGAGGGTATACTGTAGTATTTTCTTTGACCTGTGTAAGCTCAAACAAAACAGGGCGGCGCATATTTCGCAAGGTTGTATTAGACACTTTTATCTTATGCCAATGTATTATATCTCATTCATCGTTAACTAGCACTTTCCTCTACTTATTACAACTGCATGAATCCTGATACTGTCTGATTGGACCTAATAGCATTGGGAAATGATACACTACGCCGCAAAGGCTCTGTTGATTTTACATTCCATATATTATGAGGTTTTGATATGTTCCTGGTACTATCGACATGATATGTGCTATAATATCCAGCATACCAAACCGTTCCAACAAAGGAAAAGAAAACTAGAGGAACAGAGCAAGCAAAGGTAGTAAAAACACACGGAAAAGAAGAGAAGACAACAGAAATCGGAACTCATAATTAGCACATGTAAACGAATCAAAGGACAGAAGACAAAACACACCACCGAGAACCCTTCAGCACAGGACGTCGAATATGAAAGTTTGACAATCCCCCGCGCCTTGCGCCGGTTGTATGTATCCTGACGACCACTCATTCCCTTTCCAACCTAGATCATGAACGAAAGGACAGACATCTGGTCTAGGGCACAGATGAGAACCAGAGAGAACTAAATGCCGATGGCAATAATATAATGACCTGGCATCCTTGAGCCATCCACACCCGCCGGACTTATCAACCCTGTAAGTATATTTAGTTCGACTAGTACTCGCCGTGTCGTGTATCATATCATGAAGGATCGAGACCCTGTATAGTTACGTCTCATATTTAATTAGAATTGTCTCGAGCAGTGCAGGACTACTCAAGCAGCGGGATTCGTTGGACGGCCGGGCTTTAATCATCGTCCTTGGTGCCCAGGCCTAACAGATCAACTTCGAAGGACCCGTCACACGATTTACCGTACCCTCTCTTGGTACCGATAGCGCCGAAGGTCGCTTTGTGTTCTTTTTTATCTTTGTGTCGGTCGCGGACAAGATCGGGACTCGAGTCCGATGATGCAGTGCCGGACTGGGTTAAAGGGGAGGCACCGCGAGTAGCCGGCTCGGACGCGCTATCTAGGGCAGACCGGATGTTCGGGCTTGGGTGGTCAACCTTGGAAATGGGAGATGCAACGCTCGGCGGAGCAGTGCCATAGCCTCTACAATCCCCGCTGAATGCATCTACTTCGCTTGCTTCAGGTTCGGACTCCTGCTTCAGGACAGCAGGCCGAGGCTGATACAACCGGCGGGATTTTTGTGCCTTCTTGGAACGAGGCTTATAGGGAGAACCACCGGCCAGCAGGTACTCCGAGCTCCCGGACATTGGAGTCGGCATTAGAGATTGTATACTGCGGACGAAGTCCTCACGCTCGCTGTTGACACTCGCAAAGGCGGCGGTGCCATTTGCGTTGGCCAGCGCGCGCATCTTCCCGGGCGCAGATTCCACGGATGTGTAGCTGGGGTACTCTGGAAGAGGGTCAAAGGATAAAAGATCCATTTTCGAAGAATTTTTTGCTCCGTGTCTCTGGGGCATTTGAGCCCTGGACGGTCCTGCGGCGGCATAGACAGGCCGCGACGATCCAGGAAGTGCAGCTGGTGAGTGCTGAATAGCATAATGAGTCTTCTGCTGAGAGTCCCTCTCAAAATCAGAAATGTCCGAGATGATGTTTGCCCCGAGGCGAGATGGGTTGTGGACCGCCCCGAAACCCCCATTGTCCGTCAGTGGCAGAGCATGACCGATTTGATGACGAGGATGAACATGTCCATTCGGTATCAGGCTGGGAATGCCATACTTCTCACGATACCAGCGAGGGATGTCACGGAGGCCAAGCTTCTCGAGCATCGCCGGGTCGCCAGGCATCTCATGTTTAAAAAGGCAGCCTATAGTCATATTAGTGGTCATACTACACAACCAGACGACTGAAATACTAGCCTTGTTGTGAATAGTCACACTCGCCATGGCGAATCCAGTACGAACAGTATTCTTTCTTGGTATTGTAGTGAGGTCCCTGGTTGAGGGTTAGTCACACGCATTTTCCTTTTCAAAATCGTTGTAATGCTATATGTTAGGACTTACTTGTCTAGAACCCACACTGCCAGCAATACTACCACCATTATTAGGCACCAACCAACCGTTACTGGACGAACTGGGCGTAAACATGCCGCGAGAAAGACCATGCTGTATCAGCGTTGTAATAGCCCGACGCTCGTTGGTCGGAAGACACTCATCGGAAAGGACTCTCATCAACGCGGCCTGTAAATCAGAGTCACGGGTGCGGTGTCCGGTCGAACTCGTGGACGTCTCTCGAGTGGAAGCGGGGCCAACTCCTTCGACAACATAAGACTGGGGCCTCATCTGTACAATCCCAAGGCTCGTCATTCCTTGGGTTTCACTGGCTGCTAGCACACGGGGAGCTCCACGAATCGAGATATGCGAGGGGAGCTCATCCACGGCGATAAGGGGAGTGAAGGTGCCATTAGGACGAGTACAGAAGTACTGGGGATGAATCGTGGAGGACATCATGACTTGGCAGCATAAAACTGCAACCAGATGTTTGGATGATGTCTCGTAAAGAGATGAAGAGTCGGGAATGATAGATCCTAGATTCAAGTGTAGTGGTAAGCGGCTTGCGGGAGGAAAGAGATGAGAAGGGAGCCGGAAGTGCTCAAGAAGAAGCCAAGGGAATCAAGAGGTAGGAGGAGAAAAAAGAATGGCGGTAGGCGAGTGCGCGTTTCAAAGCGCGTGGTGAATGGCTTGGGTGTATGAGCGAGAGAAATGTCACTACCATTCACTGAAGCCGGCAGTGGGAATTGGATAACAGTACTGACACGGAAAATTTGGAATCACTAAAACGAATTCAAGCAGAGGAACTAAAATATAGATGAATGCATAATATAAGATAAGAAAGCTTATACGGACAATGCCATTAAAGGTAAGATAGAAGGGATGGCGACAGGTGCAGATACAAGGTTTTATTCGGGAGTCACCGTAAACATCCACAGTTAGGGAAAGGAAGGTTCCGCTAAATTGCGGAGCAGACATCCAAGAGGGTGTAAAGGCAGCAGGAGAGTAACGTGAAAGAGCCTCCAAAGCGCTTTAACAGCAGGCTCCGACTTGGGTCCCGTTGTGGCTCAATTCCGCCAGTGTTTGTCCGATGATGTTGGTCAGTACAACATCCGGCTCGGATGGCTGCAGCCCTCCCACTCTGGCACACACGCTGTTCTGGCCTGTCTTGTCGGTTTCGTTGGGGACACAATGCCCCATCCTTGAAAACTGGAGCCCTTTGACAGTCATCAAATTTTTTACCTTTCCTGCCATGATCTCCCTGTATCCCGTGGACCCCCTTGTTCCCCTATGATGGTTGTGGTTGTCAAAGGCGGGAAGCTGCCAACACCCATGTTTGTAATGTACATGGTTTGGCCACTTTGTATGGTGATTCCGAGAGGCATCATACTGTGGGAAGCTCCAATTCTCTATCTGAATCATTCTGGTGGCATATTCCCATTCTTTGAGACATTGAGTGCCGATAAAACGTGGCGATACAAACGGCTATATCAGCCATTGGTGTTGGTGACATAGCGACACCAACTGCCCAGTAGATCAGCAGTAAACGGCTTCCTGTGATTAGTCAAATAGAGATAGCGCTTGAGACACAATGCGGATATAATCTACACTTACAGCCCTATCAGCGATGGTGCGGCCTTTTTCACCAAGGCCATTGTGCGACTCGAGAAATGTTGGCATCTTCTGGAAGAAATTAAGCTATCCCACAAGCTTTGAGCGGGGGCTCCGGATACAACCATTCGTCAGGTGAACGAGGGGATCTGATCTGCTTTAAGTGTATATCGGCCAGGGGTCCAGTGAGGAATGCGATGACAGCTGCAAGGAGGAAAATTGACAGCGGCAGAAACCGAAAAGCCACAAAAACATGTGACCATTTCGATTTACAGCCTCAAAGGGAAAGTGCCTCAGGGTTCATGTCGGAAACTTCCAGTCATGCCAATGATATGATTGGGTATGATGTCTATGTATGTATGTACATGCATCCATAGCGATGCAAGATTGCAGCCCGTACGCCCAATAACCCCGAAGGATCCCCATATATGCTTTTGATCCATGCACCATCAACTCCTCGCCATCTTAATACTATCTATGGTTCATGTCCCGAATATCCATAAGGATTGCGAAATGGCTGAGGGGGGCCCCATGCTGGTTGCTGGTGGGTCGACTGCCATGTGCCATCGTTTGAGGTGAGATCGATGATGGAGGGATTGGTCGCGCCAACGGCACTAGGTGCCTCATGTGTGGCTTGTGTGGTATGTTGTGCGGTAAGATCGATCATCGGGGAGTTCGTCGTCACAGCGGCACTGATAATCGAATCGGTGGTGGGTATGCCAGGGTTTGTGAGACTCGATGCAGCCTTACTGGCTTGCTTTTTCTTACGCTGTGCAAGGTCCCCACGGACCCCATTCAAGTACTTTCTAGCTAGTTGGACAAGTTCACGGTCCTCAGTACTTTGCTTCAGAGCGGCAAGCATTCTGGCAACTTGAGTATCTGACCGTAAATGCGGACATGTACGCGAATACCCATAATGGGCAAGCCCGCACAGAGGACAGTGTTCGACGCCGGCCATCTTCAGGCGGCAATGTCCAACTACGTGGACCCGGTTGCACGCTATACAGGGTGGCCCCGGAAGGAGGACGGGGTCTACATTGCCATCTAATGGGGGCGGTAGATCCTGTTGGGTAACGCGTTGGAAAGCACGCACTGTGGCTTCTGTTAGTTGCCAGAAGAGCTTACTCGATGCAAGGGCGCTCTCACCTTTGGAAGTTTTAGCGACCTGGTCCATGTCGTCGGAATCCAGCTCGGGCGCAAAATCGGATCCTGATTCCATTGCGTCGTCCGCTCTGAACTCCCTGTCACTTTCCACCTCCTCACGAGCATGGCGGTCTTTGTTAGGCGACAGCTCCATTAAAGCATCGTTCGCATAATCCACAGCAGTCCGTTTGCGTTTCCCACGACCAAGGGTTTCAGCCTTTCGTCTGGCTTCCTCGGCAGCTGCCTGCTCTCGCTCCCACAGGATCTTTTCCCAAACATCTGCACTTGGCGCAGGCTCTTCCTCCACGTTCTGCAGTTGATCCTCGAGATTCTGGTTATCGTTCGCCCAAACCCGAGCAAAACTGAACTGGTTACCCTGATTGCTGTCATCGGGTGTGCTAGCTTGCTCGGCTTGACTGCGGTCAAGAAGTTTGTCAACCGATTCCGAATCATAGCGGACGTCGCCAGAGTCATCGTCATCAAACAAGGCCTGAGCACCGTGCCGCAGAATGTTCTCCAGGTCTCGTCCATCGTCCTCCTCCGAGACCATGCGATCAATGAGGACATGGTCAAGAACCATTTTCTTCTTGCCAATCTGCATGATCTTCTCTTCGGCACTTGCCCGGGTCATGAGCTGAAAGACGAGGACCTTGTTCTTTTGTCCTATGCGATGAGCACGGGACAATGCTTGCATATCCTGATGTGGGTTGAAATCGGGATCCATAATAACTACGGTATCAGCGGTAGCTAGGTTAATTCCAACGCCACCAGATCGAGTTGATAGGAGGAATGCAAAGTACGGTGAGTCTTCGGCATTGTATGCATCGATAGTCTTTTGTTTCTCGAGCGATGACATTCTCCCATCGAGGCGGAGATACATTAAGCCGACACCTTCCAGAAAATCTTCAATGATGTCCAGATTCTCAAGGAATTGACTGAAAATCAGAACCCTGTGGCCGCGGTTCTTGAGTTTTGGCAGCATTAGTTCTAATAGCTGGAACTTGGCAGCTGCATCTACCAAATGTCGATGCGAAACAGCAGCGTTGCTCGTTTTCTCTTCGATGGCCCTGCTGTAAACAAACGGATGACATAGGCATTTCCGCAATTGCATCAAAATATTGTTGAGATTATGCTTTTCCGTCTGTTTCAAGGCACGGGTGCCTTCTTTCCTCTGGAAGATTGCCTTGATAAGCTGAGGGTTCTTAGCCAATATGGATTTGTACAGTTTCTTCTGCACCATAGTCATCGAAACAGGGACGATAATCTGTGCCACTGGGGGGAGAAAACTGAGAACCTGGGCTTTTGTCCGTCGCAAGAAGAACGGACGGATCATGTTATGTAGTTCAAGTATGTTCTCCTTTGATAAATCCTTATACTCGTTTTCAAGGTCATCTGCCCTCTTAGATGGATCACAGAATTGCAACAAATTAAAAAGCTCTCTTATGTTATTCTGGAGGGGAGTGCCCGTCAAAAGAATCTTAAAAGGAAACTTGATTCGTGACAATGCATCGTACAGTTGACTTTTGTCGTTCTTTAGCCGTTGTCCCTCGTCCACGATGAGGCCAGCCCAAGGTACTTTCGATAGCAGTCTTCGGGATGCGTCGTCGACCAGGGTTTCGTACGAAGCTACGACGACGTGGCACCGAAGGCTTGTATCGTCATCAGCGAACATTTCATAGTCTTGTGCTAACTTCCGAGAGAATGCCGATCCATAGTATGTGACTACCCGCAGTGAGGGAACCCATGTTTTGATTTCCTTCCGCCAATTCGGGCACGTCGAATTTGGCACAATAATCAGGAAAGGCCAGCATTTATGATATTGAACAAGGGTTGCAATTAGGCCGATGACCTGAATGGTCTTACCGAGACCCATTTCATCAGCCAAGATAGCGTTTTGCTGTTTGTACCACATGTAGTAGAGCCAGTCAAGTCCGTCCTTCTGATAGTCCATGATCTGTCCGCCTGTCATTGTCTCTGGCTGCCCACTTTTGACAACATTGGAGCTGAAGTTTTGCTTCCGGACGTGAGCAATACGCCGTCTGAGGTTGTCTTGGTTGGGTATGTGAGTATACTCCATTTTGACCCAGTCTTCGTATGCAGCTCGGAAACTCTCCCATCTCTCAGGGTTGCTGCTGCGCTCGGGAGGCGTGTCCCAGGTGACCTCCTCATACGGTAAACCTTTAAATTTGACGTACATTTCTACCACTTCATCCATACGTGCAACGTCTTCTTCGAAGGTACGTTTGCGGCCTGTGTCAGGCGAGGTGCCGGAGAATCTTACATCAAAGACAATGTCCACGAGCAAGAAGTCCTCAGGAATTGCTTCCTCGGCGGTCATACAGGGTTCGAGGCTTTTATCTGACCTCATAAAGGCACGTCGCATGTGATGATTCACAAAGCCCCAAACCCAGCTGCCCGGCATCCAGGTGGTATGGTTGTAGGATTTATTCTTCCACTTGATAAGATACTCCCTATCTGCTCCCTTCGCGGCCTCTGACTTGTGGACCACAGGGCGCCATGCGACTATCGCGCCAACCTCTCCAGGTACTGATGCACAACTCTCACATTGCCATGTCATGTGCGTTATTTCGGATAAGTGTTCGAAGTGGAAGCCTCTGCGGCAGGTGGTGCAGCGGAAGAGCAGGTTCTCGACGTCGTTGACCCGGGACATGTCAAAGGGCGTTATAGGATCTTTACCATCA